CCAGCCCCGCCGACGGGTACACAAGGTGAGCCCTCAGCAACCCCACGGTTATCGGAGTACCCCCTCCGTCAGTCCGCAGTCCAGGGCACTGTGTGTCCGAGTGGATCGCTACGTGATTTTGCGAACCCCACTGTGCTGTGCTTGCGTTGCTTCGGCGCGCGATAGTGAACAGCTGGACGATTTCGGGATCGTGGAGCTTGTCATTCTGTTGCTTACGAACGCCAGTGAATCCATTTCCGCTTGGGCGGCAGATGCACTGGGGAATCTTTCGGACAGACGAGTGATCGCAGATGAAACTATCGTGTCTTCATTGGTGGAAGTCGTGGAGAACGGGACGAATGCACAAAAGACATCAGCGGCGTTTGCTTTGGACATCTCGCTGGAGTTAATGCCTTTAACTGCGTTACAATTATGAACGGCGTGGGGATTTCATCTCTGGGAAATATATTGGAAACAGGAACCGATACACAGAAAGCTCTAGCAGCATTCGCGTTAGGCTCTCTGGCTAACAGTGACGACGCTCGTGTGGCAATTACTGATTCTTTGCCGGATCTTGTTGCATTTGCTCGGACTGGAACTCAAATTCAGAGAGAACATGCTGCGTTCGCTTTGGGTTGGCTATCCCGCAATGATACAATTTGTGATATGGTAATAACTTACGGAGGAATCACACCTTTGGTCAATCTCGTACAACCTGGAACTGAAGACCAGAAGAATCAGGCAGCGCTGGCTTTGGGTAACCTCGCGGTTGACAGCACTGAGAATACAGCAACAATTTTTGCGAGTGAGAAGGTATTCTCTGCTCTAGTAGAGCTTGTGCAGACTGGAACGGATGACCAAAACAGTGAATGCAGCGCGAGCTCTGTCTAACCTTGCCTTGAATAGTCAGCAGGGCTGCACGGCGATGACAAATGAAGGGGCTATTGAAGCTTGATACTACTGCAATATCCAAGACAACCGCGCTAGCTACCTCTTGGGTGGAAAACTTTCTCATGTGCACTTTTTTTTTTGCCTACGAGCGTTTGAACGGCTGCATTCGTCCTTGCCCTTGCACCTCGCCCTCAGCAGTTCCAGCATGCTGATGGCGGCGTTCACGTCTCGGTCCCAGTACCTCGCCTGGCAGATCTTATTCTCACAGAGAAGCACGATGTGACAGTGGTGTGAATGGATCTCAGCCTGGGACCAATCACGTGGAAGGACTTTGCCCTTGGCCTTCTTTCTCTTGGGCTTGTCGACGTTTTTGGGGAAGACTGGAGTAGAGTACTGGACGCTCGAAAGCGACTGGTGGTACTGCTCGTCCTGAACTCGTCCATGGAAACCACCGTCGCGCGCTTCCGCAGTGCCTCTTTCAATCCCTTGACCGGGCTCGGAGCGTGGCCCTTGATGCCATCTCTCCGGCTCCAGTCACCGTAGGCTACACATGTGAGCTTACTCACAGTCGGTACGATCCGCCTAGCAAGCTTATGCACTGCAACACAAGCCATACGCTTCTGGAAGAAGCGTCACGTCAGGTACGGTCGATCTTTGCAAAACTGTAGGAGGTACGCCGCGTGTTGCCAAAAGTACTCGAGTCGCTTCAGGTATTGTTTATAGCTCGCTGTCTTGAATGAAGGCATACCGTCGGCCATCTTCTTGTACTCGAAAAACTTCCTCTTTTGGCTTTCGTTCCAAGCGCGGAAGCGGTTGAACCCGGCAAGATGCCTGTACTCGCGAGCGGTGACGCTGACGATCTCTCTGCCCGGACGCTGCCCTAGGCGTAAAGCCTTTGGTCGACGAATCCACTTGGGGAAGTTGCGCTTGCGTTTCTTCTTCTTCTGTCGTCTTGGACGACGGACCCTTCTCTGCTTGCGTCGACGAGGAGCCTGAGGTCGAAGGTATTGGTGAGCTGCTGTACACACCGACCGCATGCCGGAATCGAGGCCGATGATTACGTCAGGCAGATAGCCAGCTGGAACGAGTGGATCGTCTTCTCCACGCTCCAGCTCATCTTGCTTCGGTTGGTAGTAAAGGATTGACGCATTGTATCCATCGGTCTTAATCTCGTTGGCAAAGAGATGCTGGCGTGGTTGTACTTCGCTTCGACTGTCATCTGCCGGAACTCTGGCTTCGTCACAGATTCATCCGCTACAGTCTCGAAGCGATCAATCGCAAACGCTCGTCGCATGACAGTCCATCGGATAGCGCCAACGGATGATCTAGAAATCTTATGTTCCAGTCCTCCATTAGGTTTCCTTCTCCACGTTCGCGGATGCGAGACACGAATCCTGCCAACGTCGTTCCATTGATCACGATGTGAGCAGTTCTTAAAGCCGTAGACATCGGAAACAACGAGAACGCTCTCACCTCTTTCTCGTTTAAAACGGCCTCCATACGAGCGTCCACGACCCTCTGGAACTCCCATATCTGCCGAATGTAGAACGCCAGGCCATTGTTCTTGATAATACTGGGCCAAGAAATTCACTTCTCGCTCCACTCCTCTCCATCCGGGGTGAGCACATCTCGCATCTGCAGCGCTTCGAGACAGCCAGTCTCCTCTACGTTGTAGCAAGCATACATGATCTGCCCGACGAGCTTTTTGGTGACCTTCTCTTCGGCTGGGCTCAGGTCGTCTCCCGACTTCCCGAACTTGATCAGTACGTACGCCCTCAACCGCTTCCGAAACTGTTCTCGATTCATCACGCCACTAGTTGCTCTCGCAAAGCCTGTTTCAACTCTGAGAAACCAGTCATATTTGCGACTTTGCGCAATTCAGCCTGACTTCGACCAACACGATAGATCTGAATGCTGTCCCAGAGAGAACGAATTTTTGTGGCGATCATGTGCGACATATGTGTGGAGGCCACACCCGCGCAGCAATGGTCGAAAAATGTTTTGCCATAGTCTGGCAATGGAAGATCGTGCTCGAGGCAGCGCAGTGTGTGGAGGTTGACGAGGTGCCACGTCTCCATCTGAATCTGCTTCATGGCTAGCGCAGTGCGATTGATCTCCGTCACAAGAGGTTTGTCTGCGCAAATCCTGTTCGGCCGACAGACAACAGATCGAAGCACTTTGCCTTTCTTGTACTCCTTCTCGCGAAGAGTACCAACATCTTCTTTCTTGTTGCCTTCGGTACTACTTCTTTCATCTCTTTGTCACTGCCCGCCCCCTTCATTTCCTCGTCCCCGTCTGGGTCCTGCGTCTCGGCTACGATCTCGATGGGAGGGAACCTGTAACGGGGTACAATACCCCAAGTGTACCCAAGTTACATGAAGAGTGCCCAGTCACT